GAGGGTTCAATGCTGTGTACTGTATGACGGTGAAATGCTGGCAAGAACCTAAATGCTGTCTGTTTTTTTAAAAGGGGGAAACAGGTAAGTAAATTCTGGTATGCACAACTGCATTTTACATTCTGCAGAAATTAAAAACAAAGATTACGAAGAATTTAAATGTCACAGGAAATTGCTGTGATCCTGTTATGTAATGAAGAATGCTATAAACAAACGTTTCTGTACACTACAGTCCTATACTAATATAAAAAATGCATAGAAAAAATAAGGGAAGAGAATATATATATAAGTATTTCCTTATGTATATACTGCTGCATTTTCCCCGTTGAGTTGCCATTACTTTTGTTATTGGGAAAAATTTAAACAATTTCTTTCCAAAGAAAAGAACTCTGTTCCATATTTCACTCCTTTTAAGTAATGACTTTGCAGATGAAATAAAAATATTTGGTTACAAATGTCCGCACATCACTGCTGCAGCTTGGGCACATTTTGAAAGGAGAAGTGATCAATCTTGTGCTGCTTCTGGAGGACAGACGGGGATTTATGGTGGGTAAAAGAGCAGGCAGCTGTTTGAAGAGCTTCATCATCTTACAGCGTCCTTATACCAAATACATGTGGGCAAGGTTTTAAAAGCGCAACGTTAGGGGGGAATTTGAAAGCCACACTGCTGATATGGTCACAGTAGGCAGTCTGGATAATTCCAAAGCTGATGGTGTGATGTCCTGGGAGTTATTTAACTCACCAGTTTGTGCTACTCTGGTGGTTTGGGTGTTGATAGGATGCTGGGAGCTAGGCCACCAGTATTTCAAATACCAGCAGGGTCACCCACGGTGGACAGGTTTCAATAGAGCTTCCAGACTAAGATAGACTAGGAAGAAAGGCCTGGCGATGTACTTCCAAACATTAGGCAATAATGTTATGGATCACAGCAGAATATTGTCTGATATAGTTTTGGAAGATGAGCCCCCTAGATTGGAAGGCACTCAAAATACACAGTGATGGCAACCATGGACTTGACCATACCAATGATCATGAAGATGGTGCAGGACCAGTGAACATTTCATCCTGTTACACATAAGGTTGCCATGAGTCAGAGCTGACTCAACAACAACTAACAACACGTTTGACCCCGTCACAGGCAATGACAGCATGCGCGTGTGCATGCACACGTGAGCGTGGGACTGTATGTGTGTTTAGGGGCCCGGCCACATGGTCCCAAAGATCTATCATAATTATTGACCAAACTGATGAATTTTGACATCAACAGGGAAATGCTGATATTTGCCAGCTACACGTTAAAAACAGATGGGAAAGGTCCTCAGTGGGTATCGTTTTTAAAGAAGGGTAGCCACGGACCTTAGCAGAACCTGCTGAGTAGATTCAATCCTGTCTCCTCTGTGATTCTCCCCATAACTGCTGTCACCTCTGATTGATGTTCTCAATGATCCCCTGCTCCTCCGACTTGTTTCCCCTCCTCCCTGCACGCCAGGGTTCCTGCTCCTGCTCCTAGGGAGTGAATTAGTTACCGCCACGCAGTTTACATCTTGAGACAGTGAGCTTAGGGCCTCCCCATAGACAAGGGTTTAAATATTGAAGGCTAAAACTCAGGATCCAAAATAGCATCCTTTCTCCATCTTGGGGGATTTCAAGCCTGGGGTCTCTGAGGGAAAAGTCAAGCTGTATTCAGTACAGACCCACGTCACAGACTGATACCTAAGACAAAAATTTTGGGGGAAAATATTTTGTTACAAAGATCTTTGGTACTTTAATCTGTTATGATAGGTCAATTCTTGTAATTCCACTCTCTCTCAGAATTACAAACATTGGAGGCAGAATACCCATTTGTAAAAGACGACGGATGCCTTGTAAGTTGTAACACCTCAGACAATTCTTTAAGGCGGGAAAGCCCATCCTGGAAGTTCTGTTTACTGGACTAAGCCCTCCTCTCCAGCCCCCACAGAGCTGGTTAAGAACTGAAGCTCTGAAGCCAGACAGCCCTGGGTCTGCCACTTACAAGCTCGGATATGTGGGGTCGGTCACCACCTGGAGCTCTAATTGTCTCATCTGTAAAATGGGTATAATAATAGTACCCCCATCCTGCAATTGTGGGCAGTATTAAATGAGTCAGTCAATAAGGCAGAAACTGGCATTTGATAAGGTGACATTAACCACTGCATACGTAGTTCTTTGTTCCCTAGGATCTGAAACATTTCATTTTATAAATATGACCTGTAATTTTCTTCTCTATTTCGGAGCACTTTTGCAGTTATGAAAACCTAGTTTGTTCAATTTCATATTACCTCTTCTCCACCTTCAAAATGCTATACACCTATTCTTCACTTATTAACTATCTTGTTATCTGGGCTGCAGAAGCCAAGTTTCTGGCTGGGCTCGCTCCCTTCCTCCCCTCTGCACACTACCTCCCTGTGTTTGACTCACATTCCTGCCTTAGCAACATGGCAAAAGGCTACTGGTAGAGACCTTTAGGGCTCTTGGTGCTGAGGGCTAGTAGTCTAAGGCCTGTCTCAGTCCTAAGGTCCCAGGCCGACTTAATACTGCCAGCTTGCATCTAAAGACGGCTTTTCCTTGAGAGCGCTCCTACCTGGCGCTCCATGAGGGGTGCAGGGCAGGTTTGGTAAATGTAGATGAGGAAATCCAGGCTGAGACTGATTCTGTAGACTTGTCCATCAGTGTCAAGTTTACAACAACCGCAAAAGTCTACTATCCAACTATTTTGCACATTAATGACGTATGTCTGGCAGTAATGAATGCTGAGGTGCAAAGCGAGAGTAACCCTGGCTGTGATGGCTAAGGTTGTGCGCCAACTTGGCTGAGCCATGATTCTCAGTGGTGTGGCAGTTAGGTAATGATGTAATTTGGCAGTTATGTAATGATGCAGTCATCCTCCATTTTGTAATCTGATGCAGTCATCCTCCATTTTTGCATAACACCAATTTTCACATAACAACCTGGTCTTTGGAATCTAACCATGTCGATAAGTGAAGGGTGGGTGTACAGCATATCTATATATCTCTATCTATCTATCTACAGCAGATAAATTTTGATTTAAAATTAAAGTCTAGCTCCTAAAAAAAATAAAATACTTAGGAATAAATCAAACCAGGGATGTAAAAGACATATACAAAGAAAACTACAAAACACTACCGCAAGAAACCAAAAGAGATCTACATAAATGGAAAAAAAATACCATACTCATGGATAGGTAGACTCAACATTGTGAAAATGACAATTCTACCCAAAGCAATTTACAAATACAATGCAATACCGATCCAAATATCAACAACATTCTTTAAAGAGATGGAAAAACTAATCATTAACTTTATATGGAAAGGGAAGAGGCCCCGGATAAGTAAAATACTACTGAAGTAGAAGAATCAAGTAGGAGGACTCGCACCACCTGACCTCAGAACCTACTATACAGCTACAGTAGTCAAAACAGCCTGGTACTTGTGCAATGACAGATACACTGACCAATGGAACAGAATTGAGAACCCAGTTGTAAATCCATCCACCTATGGTCACCTTTTCTTCAACAAGGGCCCAAAGTCCATGAAATGGGGAACAGACAGTCTTTTTAACCAATGGTGCTGGCAGAGCTGGATGTCCGTCTGCAAAAAAAAATGAAACAGGACCCATACCTCACATCATACACAAAAACTAATTCAAAATGGATCAAAGACGTAAATATAAAACCAAAAACTTTAAAGATCATAGAAGAAAAAAATAGGATCAACTCTAGAGGTCCTAATACACGGCATTAACAGGATACAAACCATAACAACACACAAACTCCAGAAGATAAGCTAGATAACTAGGGTCTTCTAAAAAGTAAACACTTATGCTCATCAAAAGACTTCACCAAAAGAGTAAAAAGAGAACCTACAGACTGGGAAAAAAATTTTGGCTATTACAGATTCGACAAAGGTCTTATCTCTAAAATCTACAGGAAAACTCAACATCTCTACAACAAAAAGACAAATAACCCAGTTAAAAAATGGGCAAAGGAAATGAACAGACACTTCACCAAAGAAGACATTCAAGCAGCTAACAGATACATGAGGAAATGCTCGTGATCACTAGCCATTAGAGACATGCAAACCAAAACCACAATGAGATACCATCTCACCCTGGCATTACTGGTACAAATAAAAAAAAAAAAAAAAAACAAAAAAACAAATGTTGGAGAGGCTGCGGGGAGATTGGAACTCTTATGCACTGGTAGTAGGAATGCAAAATGGTACAACCATTTTGGAAAATGATATGGCACTTCCTTAGAAAGCTAGAAATAGAAATACCATATGATCCAGCAATCTCACTCTTGGGAATATATCCTAGAGAAATAAGAGCCCACACAAGAATAGGCATATGCACACCCATGTTCACTGCAGCATTGATCACAGTAGCAAAAAGATGGAAACAACCTAGATGCCCATCAACAGACGAACGGATAAACAAACTATGGTACGTACACACAATGGAGTATTACACAACAATAAAGAACAATGATGAATCTGCGAAGCATCTCAAAATGTGGATGAATCTGGAGGGCATTATGCTGAGTGAAGTAAGTCAATCACAAAAGGACAAATAGTGTAGGAGACCACTATTATAAAAACTCATGAAAACGTTTACACACAAAAAGAAACAATCTTTGATGGTTATGAGGGAGGAGAGAGGTAAGGATGGTAAAAAATAAAAAGAAATAAAAATTTAAAAAAAATTAAAGTCCAGTCACCATACTGTCTTATGATACTGCCCATTTATGAATTGTTGGTGAAGACTGTAAGGGAATACTTAATTATTCAGTGCATACTTTAATGTAACAAGTCCCAGTCACGGATGGTTAGATTTCCTGCTGCATTAATTCAGTTTTTGACTAAACAAAATAAAATGCAACCGCATCATAAGAAGGCCAGTGATCATGTTTTATAGTTGGGTACATTCTGCTGATTACTTTAGACGTTAGAAGCATACGTTACCTCAGCGAAGTGAGATTTCTTCTCTGTAACATCAGACTGGAGCTTTCGAAGGGCAGTTTGATCATTTGTGCTGTACTGGTTGTCCCAGAATCCTAGGCAAAAGGAGATAATATCGCTACTTTTTACTCTATGAAAGGATAAAATGGAATACCTAAACTTACTATAAAATGTAATGCCACCTATTCACATATTATACTAACCAACAGTGAATCCAATACATTCTCACCCTCATGCATTCCACCCCCTTCCATTTATATTGAGTTCATTAGGCTGCAAGATTCCTTCTTCATATAGTTGTTTACGTTCCTTAGACTTAGTAATAATCAATTAGCACTATCACGTTCACCGGTGTCCTTGGGTGCCACCCAGCAGAAGAGAGAATCACATCTAGATTTCTCAGCACCACTAGAGTTAAGAAAGGCTGAAATACAAGACCAGTTGCATTCAAACATTCTCTAAGGGGCAAGGAGGAACTCAGACACTGAGACGGAAACTGTTTTGGAATATCTGAGGATAATTTTGTGATAGTATTTTGAGGATGAAGGAGACACTGTGTGCAAAGCTCTTCCTCTGTGCCTCACACACAATAAGCTCTAGGTGAGTGTCTGTCATAAGAGCAGCCAAGAATATCAGCTGGTCCAAGGCTACACAGCTGTGGACCAAAAATCAGAGAACCTGCATTCAAGTCCTGGCTTCCCCATCAACTTGTTTGACACCGATGGACAAGTCTACAGAATCAGTCTCAGCCTGGATTTCCTCATCTACATCTACCAAACCTGCCCTGCACCCCTCATGGAGCGCCAGGTAGGAGCGCTCTCAAGGAAAAGCACTCTTTAGATGCGAGCTGGTAAGTCAGCCTGGGACCTCAGGACCGAGACAGGCCTTAGACTACTAGCCCTCAGCACCAACAGCCCTAAAGGTCTCTACCAGTAGCCTTTTGCCATGTTGCTAAGGCAGGAATGTGAGTCAAACACAGGGAGGTAGTGTGCAGAGGGGAGGAAGGGAGAGAGCCCAGCCAGAAACTTGGCTTCTGCAGCCCAGGGTAACAATTTTGCCTCAACAATGCAGACTTTCTAGGAAAAATGATTTTTCAAAAGGATGCAAAAATGGTTCTCCCCCCACACAAAAGAAGACCAGATTTACTGGCCTAAAGGAGACTGGAGAAACCCCGAGAGTATGGCCCCCAGACACCCTTTTAGCTCAGTGGTGAAGTTACCTTCGAGGTTCACTGTTCAGCCTGGGAGTGGACAGCCCAGTAAAACCATGAGAGTAACGAGGTACAGGAGTCCAGTGACAAGGCCCAGAAGGCAGAAGGGGAGTAGGAAGCTGATGGTAGGGAACACAAAGTAGAGTAAGGATATTGTCGATGTGTTGTGAGATTGTTAACCATTGTCATAGGGCAACATTTGTAGTAACTGTTAAATGGGAGACTATTTTGTCCTGTAAGCCTTCATCTTAAGTGAGAATAACAGCACAATTAGAAGAGCGTAGTCAATGTCACTTAAATGTGTATGTAAAAAAATTTTTGAAATGGCGTATCTTTGGCTATGTGTATTTTCACCAAAAAAAAAAAAAAAAAAAAAGTTGAGAATTTAGAGGGTTAAAATGTTGTGGGGTTGTTAACCAATGTCATAAAACAGCATGTGTGTTACCGTTACATGAGAAACTATCTGTTCTGTAAGCCTTCACCTGAAGTACAATAAAATATTTAAAAAAAAAAAAAAAAAAATGGTTCCCCAGCTGTTAGTGCTGGTGACGAGGAAGAAGAGATTTAAGTAAGTAACTCTCGAAACAAGAGTCCTGTCTTTATCAATGCATCACAAGGGTTTATTAAAATTTTTAGATATGATTTAAAGCACTTTATGGGGAAAACTATATGCTATGGCATTTTGAAGTTTGGCAGATTTGCAAAGGGGTCAGGTCATGACTCAGGGGGGAATTTTTAAGGCCACCACTGATCAGTCCAAAGCCTGTCCATGTCTCGTCTCATCCTTGGTTGATGACAGAACTTCCATCAGCTCTCACCCAGCTGGGCCTCTATGAATGACAGAGACAGTCATTAGGGCTGATGTGCACAGATTACTTTTCATGAAGCACAAATATAAGACCCAAAAGGTCTCATGGATTTCCGTGCAGAGTCGATGCATCATGATGAACTGACAATAAAGCTGATGAAGACTGAAAGCACCAGCTACTGTTGGAAGTGTGTGGCGTCATGGTTAAGAACTCTGGAGTCAGCGCAAGCTTTGGGGTCAGATGGATCTGGCCCTGTAACCCAGCTTGGCCCCAGGCTGACCTGCAGTGGGCGAGCTGCTTGACCTCTCCGAGTTTCTTCATCCATAACATGCACACAATACCTCCTGCATAGCCTTGCCATCAGTGCACCTGCACCAGGGCTGGCATGTGGGGTACATGCTGGATAAATGGCATCAGTTATGACTATTAATAAGCAGAACCAAGACAGCCCCCTTTGAGGCCAAGTTGATCACTCATGCCATAGTGCCTGCAGTCAAGAAGCCACTGGAATCAGACCCAGAGTCCCAGAGTTTGAATCTCAGCTCTAGCTACATGTGTGGCTTTGGGCAACTTGCTCAGCATCCCTCCATCCTGGGCACAATGCCCAGAACATAACAACATACAATAAACACTAGCTATCGGGCAGTGCCATCATCTCTAGCGGGGAGAAGGGAGAACTGCCATCATCAGACAAACAGGGCCTGTGTATTGGTTTCCTACTGCTTCTGCAACAAATTACCATAAACTTAGTGGCTTAAACCACACAAATTTACTATCTTACAGCTCTGGAGCTCAGAAGTCCAAAGTGGGTTTCACTTGGGTAAAATCAAAGTGTTAGCATGATTGTGTTCCTTCTGGACACCCTAGGGGGAAATTGATTTCCTTGCTTCGTCCATCTTTTAGAGGCTGCTTGTATTCCATGGCTGTGGCTCCCAGCCAGCAAACGCATCACTCCGACCTCTGCTTCCCTAGTCACATCTCCTTCTCTCTCTGACTCTTCTGCCTCGCTTCGATAAGGACCCTTGTGATCACATTGGGCCTGCCCAGATAATCCCATATAATCTCCCCATCTCAAAGTTCTTAACTTAGTCACATCTGCAAAGTCCCTTTTGCCATGTAAGGTGTCATCTTCACAGATTCTGGTTTAGGGACGTGGACATCTTTGGGGGGACCATTATTCCACCTACCATAGACTGCGTGGTGAAACAGAGGCTGAGGTACTGGATGGAATGTCAGAGTCTTTGAAGTGATGAGCAGAAAGACTACATAGCCAACAGGGAAAAGTATCTGCAATGCACCATTTATCAATAGAAAGGAATCAAAACCTATGAACTACGTGATCCCAAAATTTTTTTAAAAGTACACAGGAATCCATAAAAACAGTGAAGTTGTAACTTGGAGCCTATTTTTGAGAGAAATTGGGTTATGACTCTAAGCCACATATGAGGGTGTCTTATACAGTAATGGAGCCCTGGTGGTGCAATGGTTAACAAGAGCTGGAGTTTTATCTAATCCCTGGTGGTGCAATGGTTAAGAGCTCGGCCGCTAACCAAAAGGTTGGCAGTTCGAATCCACCAGCTGCTCCTTGGAAACCCCGTGGGGCAGTCCTACGCTGTCCTATAGGTTTGCTATGAGTTGGAGTCAACTAGACGGCAATGGGTTTATACAATAATGATCCCAAAAGACATCAGGAGGTGAGTTACCAAAGGGGTTAAACTCACAGACTACAGGGAAAGACAGGCCCTGACTCAAATCCTTCTCTGCCACGAACCTCTTGGGCTTGCAGTTTAAACACTTACAGCAAGTTACATAAATCGCCAGCGCCTCATTTTCCCACGTGTCAGAGGGAACGTAAGACCTGTCTCCTAGAGCGGTTATGAGGGCTAGTGAGATGGCGACCACCGAGGACTCAGCAGAGCGTCTGGCAGGTACCCATTCCCACCCATTCCCGCCTGACGTAACCGCAGACCACACAACGTCCCTCCCGTGATGGACGGCTCCGCCATTGGTGAAGGATGTCTCACTGGCATCCGGAGCAAAGGGGGGGCTGGTGAGAGCAAGGCTGGCTGGCATTTTGTCTCTTCCAGCAGCCTGGATGGAGCAGTGCCATGGGAGGACACTTAGTGTCTCGGATACAGGAAAGTGCTCAAGCCGGGACAGACTGCACTGGCCGTGGTTTCTAGAAGGGCTCCCAGTGCAAGGACAGGAGGCCGCTAGGCCATCTACATGGTCCCTCCACAGGGGGTACCCTGGCAGCTGCACCAGCCAGCTCTCATATGGGACAGGTGTCTGCCCAGGGGCCACTGTTCCTACCTACTGCCCCTCAGAGAGCTTCTTCAGTCCCCCTCTCCAAGGCTCTGCCTTCCAAATCACCTGACACCTGCCCACCACTGGAAAATCCAGCGAGATTTCCTCATCTTTTTTAAGGATTAACTTCACTCTGCGACAAGACACACCCTGGCTCACAGGTCCCGAGCACCTGCAGGACGAGCTAGACAGGGCCTCGTCTCTGAGCCCGTGGCCTAGGCTCAGATTCTGGTTTGTGGCTTTGTGTAATTTGCTTAACCTCTTTGGTTCCAGTTTCCCTGCTATAAAAATAGAATATGGAATCCACACTGCTCGTGCCCCACCCAGCTCCCCCTTGCCGGGCAGTTACCCCCAGCGCCCGCTGTCACGAGGGTCACCGTCAACGGCTCACAGCTTCTTCTTCTCGGAGAATTCTCCTTGATGGGAGGCTATGCCTTCTCCCATGTTGGACCACAGCCAGTGGTGACTCTTGGGGAATAAAAGGCCAGGACAATTCTGTCTGAGGTGCCTGAGATGCTGTTCTTGCACGGCCCCTTCCCCTTCCCTCTCAGGCTCTCCCCACTCCCTTATGCACACACACACACGCATGCCCGCACACATACACGGGAATGCTCCTCCATTGCTGCCTCCAGCTCTGTTTCTTGGAAACCCAGCCTAAGCCAGGGTCCCACGTCACAGTGCTGTTTAAGAGCAGGAGTTCTCAAAGTGCAGTCCCGACAAGCATCGCGGCCTGTTCCTGTTGTGGTGTGCCCGTGAGTCAATTCGGACT